CACCCACCCACCCCCACACACACCACAGAACACCCACCGCGAAACAGAGAAAGAGTGCAGAAAATCAGAGAAGCCGGTGGGGACCTGAAGCAGGGGAATCCCCCCAAATAGCAATAAATGATGAAGACGGAATTGAAACTTTAGGGAGGGGAACCAAAGAAATTATTGGAATTAAATAAAGACGGATAGGTTGTTTAGTCAAACCGGTTTATATCGACTTAGGGAGGGGTGTTCAAACGGATCGGTTATTATGGTAACCGTTTTAACTGGTACTATTTAGTATTTAGACAATTTGGTTTGGTTAATTTGGATAATTGGTTTGGTTCGGTAAAATATTTTAGCTTGTTTGACGGTAAGATAATTGTATTAGTTGCATATATTTATGTTAAGAGTTAACTATAACTATTTGTTGATTGTTATATTTTATTCATTATATAAATTGTGAATTGATGCATTAACCAGAAATTTTTTCTCACTTAATGATACATGTGATATTATATTGGTTAATCTGGTTAACCAATTAACCAAATCGATTAAATTTTGGTTTGGTGAATTTGGTTGTTGTATTAGTTTGGACGGTTTGGTTATTATATTGTATTCCATGGTTAATAAAATTTAGACTTATTTTGTTTGGTTATTACCATGGTAACCATTTGAACACTCCTAACATCGTTGCGTCGGTTTAGCAAGTGCAATTGTTTGATTAGTGGTATAATTGGTTTCTGCCGATATGTACCGGTTTTACAAAATATGGAAATGTGAAAAAATATTAACATCAAATGAATTTATTTATATATAAAATATAATTTGAGGTTATTTACTTATATTCGCGGTGGCAACAAACCGTACAACAAAACCTATGATCTAAGGTGATGTCAACATCCCAATTTCTCGTGGGCTGCTCCCACGAATCCTAGGCCACCCGGATTCTAGGCACCGACTGTAGGATATCAGCAGCGTCCTTCCTACCAGCCTCGATAGCAGAATCCAGGTGGTGGCTACCCACATCATCAACATCATCAACAACTCTAGAGTTCAGCAGCACCTGTACACCTCGACCTGACAGGTTGTCGAAGATGGATGAATTGGTTAACAACTTCATGATCACTAGTACCTAGAAATTTAGCAAGATGGAACAGTTCATGGACTTAGCTATTGTGAATTTTTTTTATATTGAGGATGGCCAGAGACACCACTAGGCGATTTTACAGGATTTATCAAGCCAGATTGTGAATGTGGCTCAATTTGTTGCCAACAGACCACATGGTGTATTGCTTTCTAACACAGTGCTCAATCCTCAGGTTCCTCTTGCCCATTTGAAGGCAATATCTCTTAGGGTGGGAAGAAGACTGCTATCATCATCACTGCTCTTTCGAAAAGTGAAGAAGAGCGGTCTACTCCAGTAGCTCCAGTCTCTACCATGGAAGTGAATAAGGAGGAAGAGGTGTATTCCCCAAAGCCACAACCAGTGTTGAAGCAGCATGCCCCTCAACTTTGTTTCCCCACTAGGATGCATAAAGACATACTAGAGATTGAATTCACCGAGTTCATTGCCATGTTGAAGCAGGTGCACGCCAATCTGCCATTTGTGGAGGCACTATCAAAGATGCCCAAATATGCTAAGTTTATGAAAGATCTCCTCACCAATAAGAAGAAACTTGGGGAACTGTCGAAAGTGATGATGAATGAAGAGTATTCTGCCATCCTGCAGAACAAACTGCCCGAGAAGCGGAAAGACCTAGAGAGTTTTACTATTCCCTACACTATTGGCAGTTAGCATGTAGGAAAGCCCTTGGAGAATTTAGGTGTTAACATTAACGCCATGCCCTATAAGCTGTTTAGAAAGCTAGGCCTAAGTGAACCCAGTACCACTAGGATGAGCATTCAGTTAGCTAATAGATTAATTGTGCATCCTAGAGGAATTGTTGAGGATTTGCTTGTGTCTGTGGGTGAATTTGTTTACCCTATTGATTTTATAATTTTTGACATTAATGAGGATGTGAAGGTGACTCTAATTCTGGGTAGACCATTTCTTGCCACCGTCTAGGCACTCATAGATGTGAATGATGGCAAGTTAACATTGCGGGCTGGGATGAGCAAATAACATTCTGTTTTTGATAATATGAAGCATTCCAACTTGCATGATGACTTGGATTATTCCGATGTGTCTTCTGATTTTGAGGCTGCACTTGACATCACGAGTGTGAGTACTGACGATTCCCTTAAGCATTGTTTGTTTGTAGGGGAACATGCTTCACAAGAGCTGTAGTCGAATGAGTAGTTGGCAGCATTGGATGGTGGGGTGACCCAAGAGCACGAGACCCCAATGGGGCCAGTCTCCAAATTAGCTCGGATCACCACCATAGCTGGAGTTGAAGTCCTTCCCCAATCACCTGAGGTATTCATTCCTAGGGGAGGGGAACACACTCTAGTGATTATCAGCTCAACGCTCACCCCCAAGCAGAAGGCCAGACTGGTGGCCTTGTTGAAGAAGTATGCACTAGCACTGGTCTGTAAGATCACAGATATTAGAGGCATTATCCTCTCTTTTTGCTCACATCGGATCCTAATGGAGGATGAGATTAGGCCATTGGTGCAACCACAGTGGAGGTTGAACCCGAATACGAAGAAGGGGGTTAGGGCAGAAATCATCAAGCTTTTGGATGCGGGTATCATCTTTTGTATCTCTGAAAGTGAGTGGGTCAGTCCTACTCAGGTGGTGCCTAAGAAAGGCGAGATGATAGTTGTCCTGAACAAGAAGAACGAGCTGATCCCGATGCGAACAATGACTGGGCGGAGAGCCTGCGTTGACTACCGCCGCCTGAACGATACCCCTAGGAAGACCACTTCCCACTGCCCTTTATTGACCAGATGCTCGAGATATTGGCGAGACATGAGTTCTAATGCTTCCTAGATGGTATGTCCGGGTATTTCCAGATTCCGACTGCACCAGAGGACCAGGAATATACTACAATTACGTTCCCCTTCGGCCCTTTTGCTTATCGTTGGATTTCATTTGGGCTCTGCAATGCACCAACTACTTTCTAAAGGTGCATGATGGCAATCTTAGACCAGTTAGTTGGAGAAATCATGGAAGTCTTCATGGACTACTTATCGGTTAATGGAGACTTGTTCTATCATTGACTTCATAACCTTGAGCTCATCTTAAAGCGGTGTGAAGAGACAAACCTTGCGCTAAGTTAAGAGATGTGCCATTTCATGGTGTGTGAAGGGATAGTTACGGGCACAAGATCTCCAAGCAAGGGATGGAGGTAGATCGATTTCCACCCCTATTTGTGGATATGATGAATACATTTTGACACTATTTTGGATGTTAGTAACCTAAGAATGCCAAAAGAACAAATGAAAGTGTGATAGACGCCATTGCCCTGTAGGTACTGTCATCCACTTGATAGGTCCATTGTTGTTAGACCTTATGGGAGTATATGATCTAGTTTGAGGAGGGAACTTCGTGGTCTTATATAGCTAACATGGTTTAGAAATTGGGGGGTTTCTGTAGGTTTTAGGGCTGATATAAGGAGGCTAGGGTTTATAGATGAAAATTATTTGGGTTGAACAATGAATGCCGCGAAAATAGGAAATAACGTTGGAGTATGCTAGGGTCTTATGCATTAATTGTAGCTGAGTCTAGTCATCACACCTGGGCAGCTGGGCTTGAATTGCATCATTCAACTTAATTATTTATTGTTTGACTGTGTCTTTATTTTTCATCCTGGCCAGTTTTGTCCTTAATCTGTTCTTCTATCAGGAAGACTCTACATTGTGATTTCACATCTGTAATTGGTCTATGTTAGTTCAGGGGACTTATGGTCAGGTTCTGAGAGCGGCTCTATCAGGATATGGCCATGGGAAGCAATTGAAAAATCATTTTCCTTCACACCAGAAGAAAGGCATGTTGCTGCATTGTCGGCGGAGAGATCATATATTGATCTGGCAGTGGCAGATCAGGGGTGGCCACCCAGGCCATGACCCAACCCTCCTCTGGATTCGAAACTAGTATAGTCCTTATGCGTTTATCGATTTTAGTTATTTGGGTCAGTGTTATTTATAATAAAATTGTGTGTAATTAAGAAAATGGGTAAGATGAACATATTCAAATCATAACTCTAAATTTAGTCTAGAAATTCTAGCTCAAATGAGTCTCGTCTAAAGAAAAACAAACAATGAAACCTAAAATTATAAAAGTCTAAAACGTAAAAGGCTAAAAGAAATATGAGATTTGTTCACTTAAAAAATAACTAGAGTAGATGGTGGAAATATGGATGGATACACAATACAAATTGATTAGTCGATTGATTTGTCCAGTGCTGACATTGTCCGTTTCAACCGCTACTATGGAGAGAACCTTTTCAACAGTGGAACAGGTGAAAAATGATTTGCACAACAAAATGAGCGATGAATTTCTCGCCGATTAGTTAACTATTTTATTTGAAAAAGAGTAGTATGCGATTAGTATGGATGTAGACTCATTTATTGATGAATTCACTATATTAAAAGATCAACGTGTACAATTGATATTGTAAAAAAATTATATTTTTTGCGGTATCTAGTTTTCTAATGAAATGCAGCCCAGTGCTCTACTATGTCCTGGATCCGCCGCTGCCTTCTGGACCAAGTTAACCTGAATGGCTCATCGAATGCATTAACTTCTGATGTCAAGTACTTGCTATCTGACAATTCTAGAGCGAAAATCTGGAGTTCTGGTTCTAGTGAAAATCTAATGCCACTGTGCTTCTGTAAGATATGATTCTAGTGAAAAGAAGCGGATCCCTGCATGGTGTGACAGAATATTATTCCGTGACAACCGGTCAGCTGGAGTGTCTGAATGCAAGCTTGGAGTGCCCTGTTGTCTGTTTGCAACAACTGTATAGAAAGTGTAACGATGTGGGAGGGATTACGATGCGCCCATTTCAGTTTGAGTCTCCCACATGTAAGGCTCTGTGGTCTTCCGCACATCTTGATTTGGTTGTTGCTTGGATGCTTGATTCATTTTGAGAAGACATGGTTTTTGGTAACTCTTCAGTTTGTTGTACTGAGCATCATGGATTTTATCCCTTTGCTCAATTTAATAAAGCTTAGGTTTAGTTCAGACAATACTAATACAACAGGAGACCACAATAACAGTGAACAGCAAGATCAGAAAAATATTCGAGCCTCGGGGGAACAGTCTGCAACACCATGGATCATAAGTAATATAATTAAAGAACCTGCTATTATCACTTAATACTCCAGCACATCAGGTGGTAAGCTCCATGATGGCAGAAACTATGTCCCCATCTGCAGCCTTGAGAGACTTCACAGCATTAGCCCTAGATACTCCTGCCTGTGTCATCACCAACTCAATGTCCTTCGGCTCAACTCCAGTTTCATCCACCTCCTCATCGTCCTGAGCCATGGCTGAAGTCTCGGGTTTCTGAATCACATGACTCGGATCGGGAGCCTTGAACTGCTCTGCCGCTTGAGTCTGGAGTTGTGAGCTTATGTCCTCAATCTTGGCCTCTCCAAATACTATGTATGTGTCTGATGTCGGGCTCTTGAAGACATCGGGTTTCGAGATCACGAACAAGATCTGTTTTCATTTAAGCAATGGGTTTTCACTATTAACCCCCGAGTTAAACAAGATGGAAGAAGACTGATTTTAGAAATAGAGGGGTGGAGAGAGAGATCGTACATTCTTGCTCTTTTTGACAGTCACTCGACTGACACCGGTCATGGGCTTCATTCCTAGCTTCAACATTGCTTTACGACTCTTTTTTTCACTTCTGGTTTGCTTCGATCTGCCACTTGCATCTCCATGCCCTGTGAATAAAAGAGAGGATAAATTTGACAGGTGAATTAAAAAGTCAAATGATTCTATATCCCATTATTAGAGGATTAATAAGTTAAATAAGATGAGACCAAATAGACATGGAATAATGGTTGAGGCATAGATAGTATAACAAGACTTTTGTAGGTTTAGACTGATCAAATTTCAAAATGGGACTCCAAAACCAAGATATAGAAAACCACTCAAAAGACAGATCATTCTGACTTCAGAGACTAGACAAAAGTAGATTTATTCCAACACATTGCCCAAAGTCACATTAGAACACTTATCGAATCCGTAAAAAAGATGCAAGGGTCCAACACACTGAAGCAATTGACATTTTGCCTGGTAGGCAGTATCATAAGTAAAAATATGATTACTAGAGCTTTTCCTAAGTGGTATGCAGGTTGTGTGATTGATGAAGACCTCTTTACAGCTACGGCTATCAAAAATAGACTAGCAGACACAGGTAATGAACAATAAGGGCTCTCTACCTTCCAAGTCATCGTCATCATTGTCATCATCATCATCATCCTCATCATCATCTTCATCATCCTCAACTACGGGTTGTTCAGGCTGTACATAGAACTCATCATCAGAAAGAGTAAAGTAAAATATAGATATGGAGGTACTGCTTAATCTGTACAACTATGACAATTCAACCAAATCGTACAGATTACAGTGTATACTGTCTGTCTAGCAACAAGTACCAAGGCTGAGTACATGGAACACTGCTGCATACCCAATGTTACCTCAGGTACAACAATTAGAGCAAGAACAAGAACAAGAAAAGGCACTAGTGCCTAGTTTGCTTCTAGATCTCAAAACTTAAATCAGACTGTTGAATCAGAAGGTGATATGTTTAAGCAAGTTTTGTCCTTTGTTTTGATTGTAATGCCCAGCTTCCAAATATGTTCGGTAGAAATTAAAATTGATGCGCAAAATTAATTCGTAACTCCAAATCAGGTTCAGCAAGAAAGGTCAAACTACTTACATAGAATGCACCTTACAACAACAAAAAATCACTTGCACGATAAGAAGCTTAGCCAATATCAACTAGCATCCAACAAAAGCAACAAGCTTTGTCTGAGTTACGGGCACAAAAACGTCTATCCAACACAATATACATTACAGCCCATCAGCCCTTATCAATAATAGTGAAATTAATTTCCATACACATGAGGTCGAAACCGAAATCTTATGTGCTTCTTCTCGCCGACTAAGAACAGAAGCAAACAATCTTATCAAAGTTCAACCACATGACAGCTCATAGGGAAGAGCCCATCAGTCACTAAATAGGTATATTAATCCTTTACAATCCCCCCAACAGCAAACCTCAAAGATCTGCACACGGCAGATCTGATAGAAAACCAACCATAAAAAAGACAAGCTCTTGGAGGAAATAAGAAGTTCGGACGAACAGAATAATACCCAATTAAGATACCCAGGAATAGAAGAAGATAAAACATCTAGACGAACGAAAATGACGCTAGATCCATATCAATATGATACAAAGGCATACGTTCTATGGCAGCAGATAGAGAACAAGGGATTTACATCTTGAAGCTTTTGAGCCTCGAGCTGGGCGGCCAGCAGTTGCTCCTGCGTCTCAGCAGTCATCTTGCGGGTTTACTTGTTTTCCTTTCGGGTATAGTTCAGCGAGAAGAAGCAAAGAGCAAACGACTGAGGTCTGAAGTCTGAACGTTGAAGAACACAAAACCCTAAAACCCCCGGCCGAATTTTCTCCGTACTAATAAATTCGCGAAGACGGAAGACCTCGTGCGTCGACCGTCGTGGCCTTTCGCTACCTCGCAGTCCCACCCTTACAATTGGGCTTATTTTTGGGCTTTAGACAACAGAGAGGCACGGAGACGAGAAACAGGCCTATGGGAAGAAAAGAAAAAAAAAAGACGAGAAACAGGCCTGTCCTGCTATTACGGTGCCGTTGTGAAAAGATGGATGTTATTTGCCGTCTAAAAAAAGATGGATGTTTGTATGTAAAAAAAAAAAAGCAATGTCTATTTTTTATCCAAACCTTTTTCAGATTCTTTTATTTTAACCAAATCTTTTGAATTCCTAAAAATTATCCAAACGTTAACTCTCCGTCAACTTTTCTGTTAGTAATGCTGACTAAGTATGACCATAATGAGTTGACTTCCTACGTGGCGGTCAGAATACCATCATTTACTATTTTTAATAAAAAGATTATAAAAAAATAAAACAAAATCCCACCTCTCACGTGGACGAAATAAGTAACGGTAACAGAATGAATGCCCAGACTTTGATAAATTATAATACGTTTGGATAATAAATAGAATTTCTATAGGTTTGGTTAAAATAAAAGAATCTGAAAAAGGTTTGGATAAAAAATGACAATCCTGTCCTCTTTTATTTTTATATTTTATTAAAAATTATTGTTTTTTATACGAACAAACCTCCTTCTACCGCCACCTTCATTTAGGGATGGCAATCGAATCCACGATCGTGGGTACGCTACCGCTCCGACCCAGTCAGTGCGGAAAATCTTTACATTGACTGGATATGTAGCGGGTATGGGTAAAATCCACAAAAAGTTTGATGAGTATGGAGCGGGTATGGTTTTACCCTCCCCACCCCATATCCATACTCATACCCGCCCCACCAAGAATCTCACATATAAAAAAATATATGGATCAAATTGAAACCTATCAATGATAGTAATTAAAGGTAACTTAAGACAATATACAATAGAAATGCAATTGGGTGCCCACCCAAATTCAAATATAATTCATTTATGTCAATTCTCCCTTCATTTTTTCACTTTTCTCTCTTGTTAAGAAAATAATTGTGTTAGTTAAGCATTACTTAGTAGATGTATCATAGTTAGAAACTAATTTTCTGAAAACTACTATACTCTATCTTATTGATTAATAGAAGTTGTAGGATTGTACTATTCGAAACATATTAAGAATGATTCGATCTTTGTTGACTTAATGATATAGTAGGTTTGTTTAGCATTATATAGGGGTGGACAACGGGACGGGATGGGATACCCGTCCTGTTTGAAACGAGTACCCGTTCCCGTTTGGAGACCAAAGTCTATCCCATATCCCAAACCCGTATGTTAAACGGGTACCCATTACCTATACGGGACGGATAACGGGTACCCATACTACCCATAAATACCCAAAGTTTGAATCACTAGAATTTTAGCAAAAGTTTAAACTTAACTTGTACTTGCTTAACAATCACAAAATTCATCCCAATCACACAATCACAAATACTCGGTTTGCAAACTACACATTCATGAACAATTACAACGCATAGAAATAAATCATTCCATAAGCCATAACAACTAAGAAGGAAACTGTTGGCTGCTGCTGTTATGCTTCAAATAAGTGGATTAAACTCGTGTTGCTGCTGTTTGCATACTCCATTCGACACAACCAAGGCATGCTGCTGCTGTTCTACTGTTGTAAGCTGCTACTATTCTTTGTTCTGCAAGCTGCCTGATCATAATGACAAAGGAAGGGCAGCAGAACAATAAACAACTAGGGGTGGACAACAGGAAACGGGTATTTGGGTATACCCGTTCCCGTCCCGTTTTTTGCGGGTTACGGGTACCCAAATACCCGTAATTTTTTTACAGGATGGGATTTGGGATTAAGAATCGCTATTTTGGGTATCCGCGGGTTACCCGTTAGTACCCGTTTGGGTAATACGGGTACCCGTTATACCCATTAGTCCAAAAGGGATTGACAACATACATAGAGTTTAGCATAGAGTGTATATATATAAGATGATCAATTTAATTCACGATGACGAGGTTGGTGATTGTGGAGATGAAAGAAGCTAGGAGTGGGATTGAGGAGCCGAGGGCCTTGCACTGCTAATGTGGTGGAGCTCATATGCGATTCATCAATTGCTGTTGTTGTTGTTCATCATCAAGATTAGTATTTATTACGACACCCGTCATCTCCAAGTATACAATCTATTTTTAATTGAAACAGGGTTTGATTCACCAGCATATACCTCCCCTTGAGAGAAAACCTTCTAGGTTAGTGAACAATGCAGCTGTGCATTACATAATGAATGGCAGAGCAGACATCTAAAATCCAAAATGAAAGACAAAGATGTATCTATTGTACGGGTATTTACGGGTAGTATGGGTACCCGTTATCCGTCCCGTACGGGTAATGGGTACCCGTTAACCCATCCGGGTTTGGGACATGGGATGGAGATTGCTCTCCAAATGGGATTGGGTACCCGTTTTAAACGGGACGGGTATCCCGTCCCGCACCCGTCCCGTCCCGTTGCCCACCCCTATAAACAACAAATAAAGGCACCATTCAACTTCAGTAAAGGCACCAAACAATAACAACAAATAATATTCATTCGACACAACAAACCAGCAGAGGAATCCTTAATAAACAGCTGGCATCTTAGCTAATAGTGTGGCAATCGAACCAGGAGCTGTTGAATGGAGGCGCAACAACTTCGGGCGGGGAGTGCGGCGGAGGCGGAGAGGTTTCCCTTTCGTCCGTGGTGGTGGTTACGAGCTGCACGGTGACAACGCCTCTGTCGGTGACGGCTATCGCAAGGAGAGGGTGAGCTTAGAGGCCGAGCTAGGTCACTCGTGGTCTCCAGTCTCGTGCTATAGAGTTCTGGAGAGTTGCATTGGTTTGAGTTAGGTTTGCTTGGGGACAAGCAAACGGTTAAGTGTGGGGGAGTTTGATAGACCGTTAATTGCACATGTTTTTACCCCTATTCTTGAGCCGTTTGAGATGTTGATTCTCACGTTTTAGGCCGATTTCACGCTAGGTTGTTCTTGTTTGTGATATTTTAGGTCCTAGCACGTGAATGAAGGCTTGGGAACGAGTTCGTGGTTGATTGGACAAAGATCGGACGTTTGGCGAGGAGCTGATGGAGCCACACGGGCATGCCTAAAGCCTACACGGCTGTGTGACCTGGCCGTGTGGCACCAAATTACACGGGCAAAGTCACACGGACCGTGTAGAGGACCCCTTGTGGCCGTGTGAAGGCTCGGCAAATCCCACACGGGCAGTCTGGACACTCACACGGCCGTGTGGGTCGTGGCCGTGTAGGAAGCCTGAAGCCACTTATCGAAACTCCGCATTTTGACACTCACACGGGCAGCCTGGGAGAGTCACACGGGCGTGTGGGCTGGCCGTGTGAGTTGGGAAATTCTGGGTTTTAACCCAAATTCGAGCCAAAGGAGAGAGAGAGCTGGGTTTTGGATCCCAAACACCCAAGGGACGAACCAAAGAGAGAGAGGGCGATTTGAGGGAATTCTTGGAGTGGAATTGGAGGATTTCTTCGCCTTGGAAGCTCGAGGAACAAGCCCAGACTTGAAGACTGATCATCTGAAGATTCTTACTGCAGTCTCTCTCTTCTCTATGGAGTAACTTCCATTCACTTAGGTTTTGAGGAACCCTAGCTATGTTTGTTTGATTGGATGATTGTATGAGTACTCTGACTTGATAATCTTGAGTTCATATTCAATCTATGCATGTTTTCACGATTCAATTCTGCTTTAGTCGAGATTATTGATTCTGCTTTGATCCTATGAGAGCGAATACCTGATTAGGTCAATAGAGCACCATAGATTGATAGTATTGGATCGATTGCTTTAGTCGAGGGTTGATTCACTGCTTTGTATCGATTGAGAACCTCTTTCGATAGAGGGAGTCTAGTTCAGAACGCCTTGATCAGTTGTTCTAGAGAAGAATACGTCCCTCTAGGCAATTGACTCAAGAGGGCCTCGTTCCTTTAGTCGAGACTCAAGGTCTAGTCAAGGATTCTCCGCATTTTGAATGAAAGTGAAACAAGTTAGAGATCATCAATCGTTAATCTGGCTAGTGGCTAGGGGGAATCATACCTAAGTGAGTTCCCAACCTGTAATTAGATTAACTTTAACTGTAGTTTGCTAGAGTAGTTTTAGTTCTTTTATCTTAATGTGGTTTGCTAGATAATGAACTGAAGCTGAGTAATAGTAACTCTAGAGACCCTTGGATTCGATATTTATTACTTGAGCCACTATATTGCAGTCCCTTTCATTGGTTACACTTGGCCATTGTTAGGTGTTGTGTCGTAGCGAGTCAAGGACCCAGTTCAAATTAAGAAAATGAGCCATTTGACCATTACCAATCTGCCACCGTAACCCCTTAGTTAACAATTGACGTCCAAAAAGTATGCTCTGCCATCCCCAAGATGGGCGGGGCTGAGCCGAGAGGAAGGATCCCTTGGGAAAGTACTTCCCTTTATAAACCTGGGTTAAGAGGAACTGAGGTTCATTCAGGATTCACCATTCAATTTTAGCCAACAAAGCTTGATTAAACTGTTAGAAAAGATGAAAGCCCACAACACCCACCCCAAGAATTGAAGCCAAGAACTCCTAATCATGCAAGGAGATGTTCTTACTGAAACAAACAGCCAATTTATCCAGATTCACTTTTTGGCCACTAAGCTCCTCATACTCATTAAGAACTTCTATCAGATTCTCACACTCCTGGAGAGATCCGAGGAGGAACAAATAAGAATCATCAGCAAAGAACAAATGAGATATCCGGGGAGCCCGATGAGCTACTTGACCCCTTCCTGCACCCATCATCTCCAGACAGAGTTAAAACCCATCTTTTCCAAAACTGCGAGAAGAAATGACCATTCAACTCTATCATATGCCTTTTTTATTTTCAAATAGTGCATTAACTCATGCCTAAGGAGGATATTATTCACAATCTGTCTTTCACGGATAAAGGCATTCTGCCTTCCGAGATGATTAGGGACAGCAGTCCCGCAAGTCTCTCCGCCATAATTTTGGTGATCACTTTGTACA